AATGAACCTTGATACAACCCTTTAAAATTACACGACCCTTGAGATCTATAGAATTACGGCAGTGAATGTTTACTCTCTGGCTAATAAGTTTTTATTTATTTGAGGAAAAATGCAGTGCGACCAGAATAAATCTACAGTATTTGGATCCCTATTGTTATTCTACGTAACTTTCTATGCCGTGAGGGCTTAACACTACGGTGCTCAAAAAACACACGTATTAGTACAAAGTATCAATTAACGCCTTATTGAAATTTCAAAAGACATTTTCGCCGGTACCAATGAAGAAATGTGTGAAAAACATAATTTCCATCACGGTTTGATGCGTGGCCTACCTACTACCTCTGCTGATCTTTGGATTACAGCACCCAGTGTTGAATACGCAATTCCACGCCAAATGAAATCATTCTTCCCGCGTAAGTTTAAAAAATAAGTAAGAAGAAATGTGTGCAAAACATAACTTCAAACTTGGTTTTGTGCGAGTCCTACCTACTACCTCTGCTGATCCTTGGGTCACAGCACCCGGTGGTGAATACGCAACTCCACATCGAATGAAATCATTGTTCCCGCGTGAGTTTGGATATTAACCACAGCCACTACGAGTCCAACCTCAACTGGACAGTATAGACGAAGCTGCGGGCTACTGACCTCCGTAGTAATAGATTTACACCTTATCTCGCATGCCTTATCTCAAGAATACTCTAATCCCTTCACCGCAGGGGGCAGATATACAGTATATAGTATAAAACCTTGATTTTTAACACAAGGATTAGTATTGTGTAAAGTTTCTTTTAATAGAACTTGTATGGATCCACAATACAACCACCAACAACGTGAAGTTTTGCTATACCATTAGCAAAAAATACGGTCAGTGCTTTCTTTTATATTTTTGACAAATTGTCTTTTTTACATATAAAAATCTTTTATACATCTTTGCCAAGAAAATGGAAATTATTTTTTAATACTCATTTTATTAAATCCATATTAATGAAAAGTTTTGCGTTGAGTTGGAAATCCATTTTTACGTATTGTAATTATAAATATTCGCATTATTCTCAGATGTTTACAGTGTATTATCTTCTAACTGTAGACTGAAAAAGAATGATTACAGCATCTTTCGATTCGGTGCCCATTTCACAAAATCGACAGACATCTTTATCAAATCGAACCTCTATAATTTAGTGATACCGCATTTTCTATTTCATGTTAACTTCATTTAAGTCCCTTTTTGTGAGCGAATATAAAGGCTCATGGTGCTTAACTCCTTGAAAAAAGTATTTGAAATGAATTTCAAAAATAATTATTTTATATTTTATAAAGAAGTTCGAAAAACAACAGTGAACTACAAAAACAAAATTTTAATTAATTTTAATTAATTAATTATATTATTTTAATTTATATTTTACAATTTCAACTTAGTATCAACATTTTTAGCAATCCTAAATAGTTAGTTTTCAATTATATATTTAAATAATATTTAATATTATTAATTTAATAATATTATTGTTTAATGATTTTGTAATTATAAATTTTAATAATGTTAAATTAATGTTTTATTTTTATTAAATGCCATAAATTAATTGTAAATATAGATTAAATGAGATATATTTATAATTTACATTTTTATTTTTATATTCAGCATTTTATTTATTCCAATCGTGAAATTTCATTTTTAATTACGTCAATAAATTTTTTAAATTTTTCCTAGAAATTAATTATAAAGCACTACACATTTTACCATTTGATTGACTTTTTAATTGTTCGTAATTAATTGATAATCTCATTTGTATACTTAAATAGATTTACTCATAAACAGATTTTGGATAATAATATCAAATATTGTATCTACCTACACTCGGTATATGCCACTGCTAATTATGTTTAAGATCGTTTTGAGTAGGTGTTTACATACAATGCTATTTATAATCAAAAAAATATACTCTGTTTATAACATTATTTCTAGACCATAAACTACAAATTAATTGACTAGTGACTACATTTAAAATGTTCAATTAAACAGTTTTTTATTTAACTTAACGTTAAAAATAATTCAAATTCAGTAATAGATGTCGACAATATCTATCTACAATAATTCTTATACAGAATCGTTGTATTTCATTAACAGAAGCATAATATCTCAACAGAACGAGGACTCTTTTAATGAATTAAACAACAAAGACTGACTCTAGAGTTATCTAAATATTTCTATTTATGTTATAGAATAAATATTTTGTGAGTAAATTCTCATATTTATTTATATGAAAAAAAATGTATTTTATTATTCTATTCTATTATTTATTTATTTATTATTATTTTATTTATTATGTATTATTTTTTTTATATTACTAATTAATACATTATTATCTATTATTTTTATTATTTATTATTATTCTATTATTATTATATTATGTATTCTATTATTTTATTAATCTATTATTTAATATACACAAGTTTGCGTAAAAAATTTATTCGTCCTTTATTACTATTCACTTTTGTCAATATTTTAATTTTAGTTTAAATATTGATCAAAAATTCTTAATATTATTTTTAGTTTTACAATTAAGTAATTGTTTTCGGCAGCCTATGTCTATAAGTGGATAACCTCACTTCATCTTAATAGATGGAGAGAGTTGAGCACTTGTAGACAGACCAAACTCATGTTACCAAAACCGTGGGCCAGAGAAGCGATAAAGGTGCTTAGCTATTCGCGGAGCACCCTAAGCTGGCTGACCTCACTAATTACTGGACATGGCAACTTCAAGTATCAGCTCAGAAAGATAACTCTTGCTGAGGAAGACACTTGCAGACTATGTCTAGAAGAAAAGGAGACAGTGGTGCATATATTGTGTCAATGTCCAGCACTGGCAAGTAGGAGGAAGACTGTCTTGGAACACCATTGGGTTGGTGACGACTTGGCAGGAAACCTCAAGCTAAATGAACTGCTTGCATTAACAAAAGATGTAGTTATGCGAACGGAAGCCACTCCAGCTTTAACTCAATAACAACATCCGAGAATAAAAGGACCCTAGTCGTTTCGTGGTCTACTTCGACTAATCCTTCACTTCAGTGGGGCCACTTGTTGGACAGTGCGCTGTCCCAACGACCCACTATATATATATATATAAGTAATTGTTTTCGATAAAGGTTTTATTAGATCAATTTTTCTATAATAAATTGAAATGAAAATCTCAATACTAAGAACAGAAAGCTTTTATATAACCAAATAATTCGACCGTCACTTCTATATGGATGTGTAGCGTTCAGAGTACATTAGGATGAATGACATCCTTAGGGACTTTAAGATTGATCCGATCAAAAAATACATAAAGGATAGAGCCCTGGAATTATTTACGAAAACTGATAGGCTTACCAACACCGCAATATCAAATCTCAGAATGGTTACAGGTTCCTCGGGGAGGTATGCAGATCTGAGGTCAATTAGTGCTTAGTCTGATGAAGTGATAAACAATAATCCAATCCAGGCGTAGAGAGGGGTTAAGAAGAAACCTCGCAGTTAATAGAGAGTAAAAGTGCTCAAATGCACTGACTCAACTCATAATCTGTAAAAGCTTCATGAATATTAAATTTATATATTTTTAACATACATATATTTGTATAATTAGATATTTAAAAAAAAATTAAATTAAAATATAAATATATTATAATATAAATTAATATGAAAACATATTATGCTTTTTATGTATAAATTATTCGTGCAATGTGAAGAGGCGTTGAAAGCGAATGAAACGACTGCTGTTAAAATTTATTAAAATTTTATTTTATTTTAAAAGCAATTATAAAATAAATGAAATCTAATAAAAAAAGTTCTTATGAAAATTCATTTCCAATGAAACATATGTTAATTTACTAACAGGAAAATCACATCTAATAATATTCAATGTTCATAAAAAAAATAAAATTTAAAATTGGGAACAAAATAAAATTATTTGCGGAATTCCCTGCATGTGTGAGTACTGCGTTCACAATAGGCGAAAATATTCTGGTAAAAAATTTTTTGGGTAAACGATTTCAGATATTATTGGCTGGTTTTGCATGTCTGCCAGATAAATGCGGACTGAGCTGTCAAAATAATTTATATTCACTTTGTCAGTTGCGCACTGTAATATAACTCAATTTATTAAAATTCCATGGAATTACAAGGAATGATGTATGTTCTATGAAATTTGGAAAATGTGCGGAATTGCAAACATTATATTCAGGTGTGAACATAAACGCAAAGGTAACATAACGTAGTTGCAAACTTACCAAAAAATATCTTTCTATCTATTTAAAGCACATGTAATAAAGTTGTGAAAATATTCAAAATTGAATTCGACTTTTCCATTGCAACAAAGAAACTTTGAGAACAAATATATATATACATATATATTAAATTCAAAAATAAAATTTAAATATATTAACCATCTTTTTTAGTATGAATTTCCCAATATTGCGTTCCTAGATTAGGTTCTATACATATGAAAGAATATATCAATCATGCAATAAACAATGCCTCTACAAACAGAATTGTATTGAAATTTAACAATTAAAAATAAAAATATAACTAATTAATTCAATTATTCTACAGTTGGTTTATAATTTCGTTCTAATAAAAACACAACAAGTGAATTGGTTAATAAAACTTTCACAGCAAAGTAACAAAACTCCAGAAAAATATGAGAACATAAAAGTCAAGTACGGCTTTAGATCAGTTGGTTAAGGAGCGCTGACTCTAACCATCAACTTTGGCAGGACCTGAGTTCGATTTCTGGTACTTGCAGTCTCAAAAAATTATTTACGAGTAATTAAATATAAGAATTATTTCCGAGACCACTGATGATGGGTATTTGGCAATACTCGAAACAGCTGTAAAGAATTAAATTAACTAAAATAATATAAATTGAATTTTTGTTTTTGTAGTTCACCTCTGTATTATTGCATTTTTTGAAATTAAAGAATTTATATATATAAAAAGTCATTTTATTACACATTAAATATATGTTTCAAAAAATGTTCTAAAATATAATTTTGATAGTTTTTCACTTACTTGCTGAATAACCAAAATTTAATTAACTTATAATTTTGCATAAAATGTAACAAAAAATTTTTTTGGCTTTATATTAAGTAATGTAGGAATAATTAATGATTTTCTCTCCTCATAATAACCGCTTTTTTCTACTTAAGCTCAGACATTTTGCAATGACAACGAATTTGCATATATACCACACTTAACAGACATGGGTTCAATGGACTCTAGTTAAGAATATTACTTGTAATTAGCTGGTCCTGCATTAAAAAATCAATTGATATTAAAAATTTAATAATTAAGAATAAAACGTACATTATTTGAGCTTCATTGCATCCGGGCAAGCCAATTGATATAGGAATTGTACCATGGTACGCGTAGGACGGCCAGTCATGCGATCCTTCAACAAATACGGTATGGTACCAAATTTGGTTAACATGCCCACACCTCGTGTATCTAAATGTGCCCAATCCACACATGGTACAAGTTCCTACATTGCATTCAAATAAAAAGGAATTTTACTTATTTTAATATTTAAATTTCAGTTAAGATAATAACTTACATTAAGGACAGCAGCTGCCAAACATGAAGACGCAGGTCCAGTTCCATTGTTGCTAATATCATAGCTAACATTATCTAGTAAATTTACAACTGTTATTTACATAATTAACATGATCTAGTAATAAATAAATTTCCAAACTATTAATAATGTTAAAATATTTGAGGTATAAGTCTGCATACAATTGGGTAACCATAAAAATACTAAATTCGTGCACTATTTCAACCATTACAATCTCTCTAATTGTGCATTAGAGTCTCTTTAATTGCATTTATATTTTACTATAATATTTGTACTTACTAGTTACAAGTTTCTTATAAAATTGCCATAATGGAAAACGCCACACACGATCCCCAGTTAGTGAACCTGCTTTCTGGAACTGCTTCCAAATGTAATGCGAATTCGAATAAATACCAGTAGCGCCACCGCCTAAGGTTTTCTTCACGCCGTAACCCAATGTGGCAACATCCACAACTAAGCGAGGCTTATAAGTAACCTGCCCATATAACAATGGGTCTGCCATTATGACAACACCAGCTTTATCGAGATCCTTTAATAATATACAATTACCAATTAAATAATACATATATGTTTATAGTACTTACCCTTACTGCCATCGTTTTACCATTTAACAATCTTATTATATCGCCTGGCTTAGTTGACATACCGGATGGCATATTCTCACACAATGGTATAACTGCTGATATGTTAATAGGAAGTGACAATGCAGCAGCAGCTCGTATTGTTGCTACAATAACAGCAGCCCCGCTCATAGCTCCTCGAAATTCATCCATATCTTTGCAACGACGCAAATTGATTGCACCACTAAAAGACAAAATTAAAGACAAAATTATCCTTACAATTCGAAAAAAAAAATAATTGTATTGCTTTACCTATTGAACGTCATGCCTTTGCCGACTAACAAGATGGGCTTATCTTCTGGCGCGGTACCGCAATAACTAACTTCTAAAAGTATTGGCGGTTCACATGAACCTTTAGCAATCATTAAAAATGAATTGAGCTGGTGGGTTTCAATCCAGTCCATTGTTCTTATCTCAACAGTGACACCACATGGACACAGTGCATCAACTGCATTTTGTGCAAAAGTAGTTGGCGTCATTAAATTAGCTGGTGTATCACTAAGTCGACGTGCTAAATTTTGTGCTTCGGACTTAAATAAACCACGTGTCCACGCATCCACATCGCTATGGTCATACAATTCTAATTTAGGTGTTATTGTGCGGTGTTTTTTATCCTTATGTTCATGGTATCTCCAAATAGCTAAAGAACTACCTTCAGCTGCCTGTTCTGGGTACTCCATTGAGTCAACATAAATTTCTCCGCAATTAATTGCTTGCAAGCTGCGGGCACCAACTGCTGTTGCTACTCGAACATTTTCCTTTTATTTAAGAAGAAAATTATTTTTGAAGTTATGCGAATCTTGAAAATATATCACTAAAAGGTCAACATTAGAATTGATATTAATTGCAATCAGATAGATGCTACGTATCATTCGGGTAAACAAAAGACTGACGACATCATTTAATTTTGCACTAAAGAGAGCTTATACCAAACTCAGAATGGAACCAGGAAAAGATATCTTATTGACTATATCAATAAATATATGAAAACTTTTGGCCAGAGTAATACGAAAAGCCATACATAGTGTTTAATGGAGGAAAATTGTAGAACAAATGAAAATTCATTCAAGATGGTATAAATTTTTTTACTGAGATAAGCACAAAAACCTATGACGAATGAAAAGAGGAATGAGGAAGAATTATGAAGAAAGTGATAACGTAAGCTATTTGGAATCGCTAAGTGATGACGTTAATGATATCTCTACTAATATAATTCAAATTTTAATAGTGCGAAAATAAATTTGTTTTCATATATTGAACACAATTTTTTTAGGACACGTTTCTGAGTTTGATATATCAACTTAAGATATAATAAAATGATTACTCTCTATTATAGTAAAAACAGAAATATTAATATATTAATAATAAACATTTAAGTAGCTTCCAAATGGAATGCAACTACCATACATATAAATTCAATATAACTGCAGTAATCCAAAGTCTATTAGAAACCAAATTTTAAAAAATATTTTTTTGACATATGTGCCCAACTGTCAAAAAAAATATTAAAGTAAATTTCTAGTTTCTGTACTGACTATGGATAATATGTTCACTTCACCGTACTTACCATTCCCTCGTCAATCATTTCCAGCTCGTTGAACCCTATTCCTTGTCTTCCAACGCCAACAAGCGCTACTGACTGAAACTCCATATCAATGTTATTAAATACCTGACCTACTCCTGTTTTGCCACTCATTTGACACCTATGCAAAAATATCATATATATGTATACGCAATATACAACACGTATATATTTAATAACATGTTTTATATTATCTTATTAACGTTAGACTTACATTTTAACAAGATCAGTAATTTTTCCCTTAACGCGATCATCAAACTTTTCAGCGCTACTAGTAAGCACCGGTTGAAGACCTTCTTCTTCTATTTCATACAAACCCAATACGATTCCTTTTAGCTATAAAATGAAACACATTATTTCAAAAATGTATATTTATGGGAATTGAAATACAAGTATTTAGTCTTACCTTACTCTTTCCACTACAATCCTCTGCAAAGGAACGCGTTTGCAATTTTGATTTAACGAGACTTAAAAGACGCTTTTGGCAGAGGCTCATTGAGAAGAGAGTCATTATAGGATTTAAAGACATTTTGCTTTTTACTAATTAATTTTTATTACTTAAAATTTTTTTTTCCAATTTTTTTTTGTCTCAGAGAAGTTTTTTGAAACAATCTTTACACAAGTTTAAAATAAAATGAAACGTATATCTACATTCTTCCTTTTAAGTTTACTTTAAAACTTTCATGGTAAATTGATTGATATAAAAATCAAATTTCTTTAAAAAAAAAAATTTTATTTATATAAACCAATCCATAATTTCACTTTCTAAGTAAATCCACTTTCTAAAGCAGTCCTTAAGATCAGTTTTTTTTTGGTTTGTATATAAACTTAGAAATTAACTACTTTTATTATCTTTTTATTCTAGTTCAAGACCATTCCTTTCAATTTTTTTTTATTTTTGAAAATAAGCAGAATTCTCACGGCGCTAGATTCGAGGAATATGGTGCTCAACGAATTTCTGGATTCCATTAAAGCTTAGTAAAGTTTTTCTTCTTTTTTCAACAGTATGAGCTAGGATGTGATATAGTCAGTATTGAAGTACCAAATCCTTTGACCGCCTATAGCTGTAACATCACATTGAGTAGATATAGATAAAATTCGAAACCTTTGTGCAAAGTAAATTTAGCATAAATGCAAAATATTTTCTTAATTGAATTCGTGAATTTGAAACCATTTTACACATGACCTACTAGTAGAGGCAAAATGTAAAGTTAATTGCTTAAATGTGTGCCATCATTAATTAGAAATCTTTTAAAGTGCTAAGCTTTTAGAAATTTGTGGACGTGCTTCATTAAAAAGGTCGCAGAACTGTAATAACGTTTGCGCTGTATTGGATGCTCCCATGGCATATTTCCGAGTACATGCACAATTCGTTGCGGTCGCTTACGGTCTGTGAATAAATTTATTTCACCTTTCAGCAATCACATCGAATCACACCGCATTTCCAGAAGCACACATGCAAAGCAATAAACTCAAATAAATGCTTTTGCGAATACGAGTACCATATATGCTTCCAATGAACAACCTCACAAATAAATTGCAATATGCAGATATATTCACCTGTGCAATACTAAATAGGGGAACCAAATCAACTACAATTTTACAATTGAGTTTTCAACCTCTTGCCCCGCAAGGGTATGAAGACGATACTGAACTGTACGTGTGCATGCATAAATGCAAGCGTGGATCCTTTCCAGCCACTTCACCAACTTGCATGTTTTCGACTGCAGACAAATGTTATTGTTGCTGTGACTTTAATAGTTATTCCTGGAATTCACTCTTTAAATTCAGCTCACATAAACTGAATCCGAACGGAACAATAAAATTGCACAGTTTTAAAGTGTTTCAACAACTTTGACATATCGAAAGGAATAAATACTTTATCACCAAAAATATTTGCAACATTCGAATGCTGCTCAGGTGAATATAAACAAGTGCCAACAGCAAAGCAAACGTCCGCCCATTTTTCGGCTACTATTTTTATATGGAAATGTTACTCCAATAAAAAAAAAAAATAAAAAAAAAAATTAATTTCGAAATGCATTTGGTGTCACGATAAATATTAAATATCAAAAGTTGTTGTTGTTGTTGTTGTGGTTTGAGTTAGTGCTATAGCGCACTTTTACTCTTTTATGGCTTGGGGGCTTATAACCACCCCACACTAGCTTTAACTATTATTATCATTTATTATTATCATTTATTTATCTTATAATTGATGACGGACCGTAGATCAGAATATCTCCCTGTGCATCCTAAGGTGGACTTAAGGTTTGTTAAAGCGGGGTTGGGCAACATATCAACTTTTGCGAATAATTTTAGTGCTCTGTCCTTGATATATTTTTTTACTGAGTCGATCCTTAGATCTCTGTGCATATCTGTTGCCTCAAAATACCAAGGAATCTCTAATTAGTTTTCTTAAAGTCAGATAAAAGTATTGAAAGAAACAAATTTAGCTCTTCAATTTAAAAATAACAGAATTTTTTTTTATTATTTTCTATTATTACCGTGATACATTTTCATTTTTAATAAAATTGCGCTAATAATAAATTTAAATTAATTTTTTTTTTAATTTTCTTATTTTCACTTTTCATCTTCGACTCATAACAAAAAAGTCAATCAATTTTCCAGGAATAAAAACAGGAACCAGGAGCCTCTCGATATGAACAATGAGGCAAAACGTTAAACGCTCAGTAAGGCTTTATTCAGTAAAATTAAAATGCAATATTCCCAATATTCCTCCATTGATTCCACATTTGGTGGCCAATTACAACACCTAACATACTGCGTCGAACACATCTTTATTACAGCGCCCCACTTGTCCGTATATCCTCAAAGTTGTTAACACAAAATATTTACACTGCAAAAGTTGCTCGACAATTTGATGTTTGTGTATGTATGCGTGTATATGTGTGTATGTGCATGACAAATTGCTTCCGGTAAACCCATTTACGCCACTTTCAGTAAATTTATATATACACGCTACATACATTTTTCACGGAACCTTAAATTATTGAGTGTTTGCGAGTGTTCCTTTATAGACTTCTCTGTGTACTCATGTACGGAAACTTACGTTACAATTCTAAACAGGAATATTTTTCGTCAAATCATTGGCTAAATGACTTATCAATTTTGGATTGTAAATTAAATGTTTTTTTAGGACTAAATTACTTCAATTTCTCAAGGAAGGTTCGAAAAAAAATGTGGAGCAGAAGCAGAAATATTCTTGTCATACACAAATATATATTATCCTCTTTGTCTATGTAATGAAGCCACCAAATAAACTAAAACATCAATCTAAATTTTTTCATAGTTCTGCTTTGAGATTAGAGGTAGGTAATAGAGTAGGGTGCCATTTTTATTGACTGGCAATGTAGTTGGCAGTTAAAGACATTGTCTGATTTTAAGAATTCTTCACCATTATATCAAACCTAATCAGATAATATATAGCGGAACACGAGGAACTGACACTCTTAACTGTAAACCCAGTTAAGAGTGTCATAGAAATATTGATGAAATGAAAATGTGGACATTAATGTTTCTATATAATATATTAACTTATATACGCTTAAAAGGTTAGTGCTAGTGCTATACATCTAGATTTCTTACAATGAATGTAGTTTAAAAACATTTAATAATCACGAATAGTTTAAAGCGGATAGTACCACTAACATTTTTTTAAAATAAAACTCTCAGGGAAATGTGATTTAAATTTTTTTAGGGGTGACTAAATATTTATTTAGAATACGACTAGTACACAACATTGTCCCAAATTCATCATCCTAAGCCATCAATTATAATAAAGCCAACTTTTGTCTATAATCATTTATATCATAAACTAAATCTATAAGCAAAGTCATATTGATTGAATTAACATATAATTCTATTAAATGACTTGCAATTCATATAGGAAGCTTTTAAAGTTTCACAGCTGCTGCTTTTTTTAGTGATTAAATTGTGCTATAAAATGCTGTTTCATGATTTCTGTTAACTTTGCAGTATCTACAATATAAGTTATTCCACTAGTAATTACACTATACGCTATTGATAATGACTGTATTAACATTTCAGAAAATTAACTTAATTACACATTAATTACTAGTGATATTTATCACATCATTTTCCAGTCAATCAGTGCAATTACTAATTAAATATTTTAATGAAGCTAAGTACCAATAATCACTTTAGTATATTCACATTGACCACAAAATCAAGGCTCTATAGTCACCTCTTAAACAAGTCCCTTTTAATAACTAGTTAATAATTTACTAGTTAGCAGTTGAAGGTTTTCTAATGAAATGGGTGTTAGATGTATTAACTATTCATAAAACAGTAATGTGAGATTTCAACCATACAGTTTCTGACATGAATACCGTAAAATTTTTGGACAGCCATATTGCAATTAAATCTCTGTTCGGCGTTGCAACTGCTTCTGTTGTCAGTTCTTTTCAAACATACCTAAGGTGTCTAGGCAAGTTTATATCCAATTCATAAAGATCCATACTCATAGAACCATCTGTCGCAACTGAAAACCTAGTAAACTTAATTAAGCAGGTACACTGTTTTCAGAAACCAACTTTTCGGATATTAGTATCTCTCTTGCAATGACTATAGTTGGAATGTAACACAAATATCTAGGGTTAATAAGGAAGTCCGGATAAGATGAAGATTTTTGTTAGATAACAAGCTCAACTAGTTCAAATTCGACAAAAGTTTTATAGGTGCGCTGCTTCGATTTAACTAAAACAATATTAGTAAAACAGTAACAATGATGATAGGCCACTGTATTGGAAATGCATGCAATAAGACTTGGTCTACCCTCTAACAACTTTTGTTTTTAGATAATCACTCTTGTGGTTTTATGGATGAGGAGAAAAATGTACTCCACCTTTTATATCAGTGCTAATCGTTGGCTAGAACGATTCAAAATATTTAGGGACAATTTTCTGACTGATGTGACAGTACTATCATCTTAAAATTAAGCGATTGGTTTCTCACTACTTGTATCGCAAATTTTGAAAGGTGCGTTGTTCCTTCGCTAGATACTACTAACTTCTGCGTTTAAATTGGTTGTTCGTTGAATTATACAGACAGCGTCTCTTCGATAGTAACACAATGGATCATTATTTGTATTGAAATGAGATTCGGTAGATACTCCAACCTAACGTAACCTAATTTGTAAGCTCCTTTGATTTAAATTTCTGTTGTTCGTTGAATTATACAGACAGCGTCTCTTCGATAGTAACACAACGGACCATTATTTGTATGGAAGTGAGCTTCGGAAGATACTCCAACCTAACGTAATCTGTAACCTAATCTGTAAGCTCCTTTGATTTAATTTTCTGACTATAGGACTGATCTACCTTCTATCTTATTATTATATTAAGGGATGTGGCACTGCGACAGTCGGGTCTAGTGTTCCCCCTTCTGAGTTTAGATTAGGTCTCTAAGCCGTGTTATGTCAATAAAAAGTAGTGTAGAACCTGCTTTATAGAGTTTTATTGCTTCTTCCGTTAGAATTTACATTCCCTACCTTCAGAATATGATTAATTGATACATGATTCACTTTTCTGTAGTAGGGAGCCTTCAGTTCTGTGTTGATTATTCTAAAACTTGTACCTATATCCA